CCTCCACCCTCATCTTTCTGCAACTGTAATTAAAGAAAAATCACATAGCAACGCTACAAGAACAATCTACAGCAAAGCTGTTATATAAAATATCGTGCCTAAACTTGCGACAAGAGTTATCCAGTCTGGCACACTGTCAGACAGGCACGCGGCATTCAGAGAAGTGTATTGAAGGTTATTTAGTATTGTAGAGGTGACCCACGTGTTACAACAATAGTACAGTAATATTTCACCTGGAACTGTCGTCGTAGGGAGAGGTAGGGCTGGTAGGCAGGTGGAGCAAGTCTAGGCTCCTTAGGAAGGGTAGGACAGAGGGAATCAATGCCTCTTTAGGGGTCCTATGGGCACATATCCTAAGTGCCAGTGGTGCTGGGTAGGCGTCGTCCGCATGGGGTCACATGTAGTTCAAATCTGGCCACTCGGCCTGCGCGGGTAGGCTGTGCGCCGTCGCCGTCCACCAATCAGGGCACAGCCTTGCCTATACTGTAAAATGTCTCCTTTGGCGGGCACTTTGAATGTGGTTCCCTCTACACTCCTCCCGTCCCTATAGAACAATGGGTATATTGGAGGGAAAATGTTCCACTATATATAACATGTCTTTTTGTAAAAAGTCTGGTTTCATGAATGGGTCCTATTACAATTATTACCCACATTATCTTTGCACTGTACACGAACATTACAATTATTACCCGTATTATCTTTGCACTGTACACGAACATTACAATTATTACCCGTATTATCTTTGCACTATACACACACTGTTTCAACATTGCATACACTACACTATTCCCTTTCCTTTTTTTTTCAGCTTCACTCTTAGGAATTTACTCTGTCCTAACAATATTCCTCGCACCGAAGCGCTGCTCCTTGAATGTGAGTCCTTTGACAGAGCAACCCTCTTCCCACATCTCACCCCCAGGATCCCAAGGAAAAGCAATTGGATCTATGCCTTCCAAGAACTGACCAAATGCTAGTTCATTCTTTATTTTCTTCTGAGCCCTCCTTTCCACAGTGTGTCTTAACGGGCCCCACTTCCTGTGAGAATTTTGCTTCGCTTCCTGATCCAGACCTGTCTGTTCAGTAGTGGCATGGTCCCGAATTGCCACTTTTGTCCTGCATTGGATTCCTGAAGGGGCCTCACTTGATGAGTTCTCACTTAGCATAACCAAACTCTGCTGGTTGTACGTGTCTGATGTGCTAATGTCCATGTCCCCCCTGTCAGTGTGAGCCGAGATGTCTTCCACACCTCTAGACAATATCTGGTCAGCATCTTGCTCCGATGCCCCTCCTTGGCCTGTTATGCACTGGGTTGGATTTAGGCCGAATGAGCCGACCCGGCAGCGTTTAAAGACGAATTTTGGTCCTTAAATGAAACATGTGGCCTGTTGCCCGAGGTGTCCCCGTGCTGGCGGACTGCTTCCTCATCCCTTTCGGATTCCTCACAGTCCCGAGCAAAATGACCCTCTTTCCCACACCTGTAGCACTGAACAGGTCGCCTAGGGGATGGGCTACGGCGATGCTGTGGTGACATAAGAGCAACTGTAAGGTGCCTCAAACTCTCACACACCTGGTCCAATCTCCCGTTGGTCTCTGAGATACCTGCTACCAAGGTGTCCAACTTCGCCTCCACGCGCATGGAAGATAAAGGATGCGAGCCCGCACTCGATGGTCGGCAAGTGTTGATTCCAAAACCTGAAGAGCTGGTAGCCGGTGACGTGCCTGGGGAGCTGGGAAGGGCGAGTGTCGAGCGCCGGGAAGCGTCATTACTCCTGGGTGGCCGCTCATACTGAGAGTACCTTCCCACTGCATTCACTCGCACTGCTGGACCTTGGGGCACTTGGTGATGGGAGTCGTATCCTTTGGAACCTGAGGAACCGTGGATCGCTATGGCATTGTGCTGGAAGGTTTGGGCCCGATCAATAGCCTCCTCCATGGAGGAGTTCCTCGCATTGGAAATGTATCCTGCCAGACTCTTATCCTGTAATCCCTGGCCAAATCTCATTAATGCGATTTGTTCCACTTCCCATCGTGGCACATGTTTGTAGGCCCGATGAGCCAAGTGATGGGCCCTATCTGCCCAATCAGCGATATCCTCTTCTGGTTCCTGCTGAGCCTGGTTAAACTTCATCATGGCTACATCCAGAACTTCCCTATCGCCAAATCGCTTGATCATCTTATGCATCATGCGATTATAATCGATCGACGGTTCTCTGTCCAGTAAGTGATTGTAAAAATCACTCGCCTTACCCTTGAGGCACCACCCTAACTGTGTCAATAACGTAGGTCCGCTCCAGTCCTTTTCCGAGGCATAAGACGTGAAACGGCGGTAGAAGGTGGCCCAATCTGACTTCCCGTCATAGTCCAACGCCCGAGGTGGTGTGCGGAAGATCTCTTTCTGTTGGCGATAACCTGTCCGCCTGCTACGGGATAGAGAGGCATCCGAATCGGAAGTCCGAGAGCTGTGTGACGAGTGGCGAGCTGTCCGTCTCCTTGATCGAGCCGATCGATGGTGGGAGGGGCTCCCCTGCCGAGTACCTTGCAGGCCATTAGCCCTGGAGTAAGCTGGTGACTGAGGTCGGCGTCCACGTTGTCTGCCGCTGGCAGCACTCCTAGAGGAACGGCGGGTACCTGTTTCGCTGGACGAGGATGAACGACTTCCTGCCTCCTGACCTGAGGGCCCGGGGCCCTGTTGGGACGGGTCCGCCTCAAACGATATAGCAGCCATCAAATCGGGTGTGGCCCGAAGGCGGTTGATATCATAAATGTTGTCCTCCGTGATCACGTGGCGATGCCGAAACTTAATAATGCGAGCGGCCAATGTATCTCCTACACCCGGTAGCAGCTGCAGCTCAGCAGCCGAAGCAGAGTTTATCTTGATTAGGGCCATTGTGCTGGTGTCGAAAACTAAAGCTCAAATATATCGTGCCATGCCTGGTAATAAGCCTTAGATCTGGGGCCAGGCACCTCACATGTATATCACCCCAAACAAAAAACAAACAACAACAAAAAAAATGGACACCAATGGCCACACTTAAGGTTCCAATGTTCAGAGATAGAGATAAATGTTCCACAAGGAAAAATAAGCACTGCACAGTCAATAATGTAAATGATGGGGCCAGGTGGGTTTTAAACAACATAAAACACTGCACACTTAATTGGTACCTAAATCACTTGAGGCTTAGACAAAAACTGGGCACTTACTGCACTTGCAAAACTGGAAAATCTGACATGGCCGGCACTTTGAGGAACTTTAACAAGCAATGTGCCTGATTTTCATAAGCACTGGGCTGAGGGTTCTCAAAAACAGTTTTTTCAGGTGAACGTGTGGAACTGTGTGCAGGGCGGATCACCATCCACCTTAAATCTGGTATGAACACAAACTCACAGGCTTACTTAATGTATCTGTTCCCCTTGAGCCGTTACTTCTGCAGAAAGCATAGAACAGGTTACGTCTAGCTAACAGTAGAAATGAGAAAGTAACAGACCTGTAGCAAGCACCCTGCAGAGCTGGGACCGGCGTCGCTGTAGTAAACACACTGGAAACGGATGCGCTCGGGAACGACAGCCTGAAATCCTCCGCGAGCGGATTCGTAAACAATACAGGTCGGGTATGCTCATGAACGGTGGCCCGTATTCCGTGTGAATGGTGGTACTCGTCTCCCCTTCTTCAAAGAACTTGGGGACCGCGGGAATCGGTGCTTGGGGGACAAGACAATAAAATGCAACAACTCCGGGGAAATAATCCGTATAAAACACTGATAACTGGAACTTATGGAGAATCTTGGGGGATTGCACGAGATGTGGAATAAAACATATGCACAAAAAAAAACAGGGGTTGAAATATCTTGGGCACCGCTATTGAACAACAAACCGAAGAACATCTTTGGTGTAACCAAAGCCAGTAATTCGAGACTGGAAACGTTGAACACTATCTAAGA